GCGTCAGGCCCAGTGCTGCATGCTTTCTGTGTGTGGCCCCGTCTCCGTCACCCTGGCTCTGTGAGGTTACTACAACTCCCTTCACTTTCAGTTGAAGAAACTGAGGCTGAGAGAGGCAACCAAAATCACCCAGCTGCTATTCAGTTGATCCAGGATTCAAAACCGAGATGGCCTGAATTTTGAAACTTCATGCTCCTCACCACTGTGCAAAAATATTTTACTGTTCTCTTCTGTGCCCAGACAGTGCACACCCAAGTATTGAACAACTGCCTTTGGTGATGGTTTGGGCATCCAACTCCTTTTTGCAAATCTCCTCTGAAATTCACGTTTGCTCAAAAATTTGTCTTCTGCCAGAAGTAGATCCTGTTCTCTCTCATTTTATATTGATTTGATGTAAACTTTTCTGTTGTTGTCTGTTTCTCTTTATGAAAGGCGGAAGAGACGGAATTTCAACAAGCAAGCGACGGAAATCCTGAATGAATATTTCTATTCCCATCTCAGCAACCCTTACCCCAGTGAGGAAGCCAAAGAGGAGTTAGCCAAGAAGTGTGGCATCACAGTCTCCCAGGTAAGGAGCCCCTCGAAAAGCTCAGCCTGTAGCCTGGCTGCGGCGGAGCTGCAGGGCAGGGGCTTGGAGGTCTTGCTTTTTTGAACATTCATGTCCTGTAAGTTCCATCAGTTAAAGCCTTAAAATGGCAAGGTGTGTATAAGAGCGTTTCCAGGTAAGTACCTGGCAAAATTTGAGAGGGACCAGCAGAAGGAAGAGAAGGAAAAGCAGGGTACAGTGTTAAAACAAGGATAGGATTCTCACTGAGCTCTCCCTTGCTGCACATAGGTGAAGTTTTTTACATACACTTGGAAAGCCATCTGCACTTCTTATGCTGTTTTTCTCACTGTTAATCAGTTCCTTAGACTATTTTTTGCCCAACCCAGAGCAATGAACAAAACTAGTCAATGAATAGAACTAGTCGTTATGTAGCCTTTTAAACAACAAGGACATAAATGTCTTCTCTCGAAGTGGTGACTCTAGCTGGTGGAGTGTAGGAATTTTAACATCTCATTATGATGACATTGGAACGATTGTGCAAAATAGCATGGCGTGTCTCCTGCCCCCAAATAGCAATAACCATCGCAGGTGTCGGTTGACTTGGAAAGGTACATGATATAAAATTTTTATAGACCTGGAGTCTTCAACATTAACAAGAAGTAGAAAAGCAGGCAGTATTTATATGTACATACATTTTGTCCACTCAAAGGATCCCTCCAAACTTCTTATTCAGCCTGAACCTCAAATACCACCACTGGTCTCCAGTTGACACCAGTAGTGATAGTTCGGAAGTATGTCACAGAAAGTGTTCCTCAGAATTGTGTCACGTGCAAGAGCACTAAATCTACTGATATTTTCATTAAAGCAGGGATGGTGAGGATGTATTGGAGAAGTCTACTCTAGTGAGAAACTCCACATAACATTTTTCAAGTGGAATAGATGCTGTTTTGTATAAACTGAGCATCTGTACTTGCTTGAATTGAATTCTGGCTTCTGGGCCTCTCCACAGGGTGCCTATTCCATCAACCTGTGTTTAGCTAAGCAGGATAAGGTCCTGTCAGAATATAGAACCTTACAAAAGGTATTTACAATAAAGGGATTGCCAGGGCCTCCCCAACAAGCTAAAGGTGATTTTGCAGCTGCAAATGTCCTTGGAAACATCCTTTCAGATAAGGCAGAATGAATTGACTCCTTTTTAACCCAGATCTTCCTTAAGTGCTTTGACTCAGCTCAAGGTCATTTCCAGTCTTGACAACTCTGGGAAAGCAAAACATCAGTGGTCGACTCTAGTAGCCTGGTTTTCTCAAGGGCTATAACTATCCTTGTCCAAATCTAGACCTCTTTTTCTCAAAAAAGGAGAACTAATGCTTTTTTTATATTTGCTGCATGTCTGAAGAATGGTTCCACATTGCTAACTCACAAATCATTGGATTTCAGTCATGGAATCCTCTGGCTTCTAAAGGAGAATTAAATCACTCTTGTCTGAATTCCAAACCTGGCATTCAGAATTTCAAATCCCTCTAAAGGTAAAATAAACCCTTCTGGAACTAACTGTATTATGTATAGGCAAGAGGTAGAGTCCTGGCCTGATCCAGAAAACTTCACTTCCTTCATTATGGAAACTCAAGGTGCAAATAGTTTGTCCATTAAGATGATTATTTACATACTGTGTCACCTCTCCCTTTAGTCCATTCATGCTAAGGACATGCCAGTCTTCCATTCGCATCACATCACTCCCTCCCAACAGCAACTAAATTGTTCCACCACTGCTAGTCAAGTCCCAAAAGGAGGCACTGTGATGTGATATCATTAGGCTAGAAGCATGTCTTTGACAAGAGGCAACTGTGTGATTTTAGGGAATTCATTCTTTCTTTTTGGGTCTTAGTTGCCCCATCTACCAGTCGTGGTTTGTTGGACCACATGATTTATTAAATCTCTCCACTAGTTCCCAAATCCAGGGGGTGCCTTTGGGGCTTTACCTTT